GTGGAATATTTTTTCCATGTTTCTTTAGGGAAATCCGCTCTCCTGAAACGTAGGGTTGCAAAGAGTAAATCCGCTGGCTTGGTCGCCGGCGCTCCTGCTTTGAGGAGCGCTCTCAGGCTTTCTGGCCGCTCAGTGCAGAGCCTCACCTGGTGTGGCTCCTGGTTGACAGGCTGGCTGGGTCCAGGCTTGCAGGCACAGCGGGGTTTGACCTCGTTCCCGTTCCCATTAATTTCAATGGAAATTCTTAGAAGTCTCTCTCGGAGCAGTTAATCGCTTTAGAGTGCTCTAACCCCTTCCTGCCCCCAGGCTTGACATCTCTATGTGTGGTTCCTCTTGTTTTAGGCACAAGTCCTCTTGTGAGTGCAGTACTGGTGTTTTAGATCCATTATGTTTACCTTGCACATCCTTGTAGTGGAGACAATGCCACGCAGCTCTGTGATGCTGCTGAGACAGGCTGATTTCACATTACTTCACTCAGTAACTCGTTGACGTAGGTGTGTGAGTGATGTCACCCAGCCAGTATAGTTCCCCCTAGGGCTTTAGGCCATGCTAACGGTGTGGTGGCAGCGCTTTTTTAGTTAAAACCCTTTTGCTACAGTATATGAGCACGCTGTAGAACAGCATTGGGCTCGAGAATCTTGGTCCATGCTTCTGAATCGCAGCGTTCACAGTTGTGTGCCTAAAGACGGGAGAGTTTGAACGTCTGGTTGAGATTGAGCTGACATGTGAGCGATAAACCTGAGTAACGTAGGTTTTAGAGTCACTGCCAAGCCCTGAGAGAGCTTTATGAAGTTTGGGTATCCTTTTGTAGGGAAGTGTTTTGCACGTGTACGTACACATAGACACACAAACTTTCTGTGATGCTTATGTTTGGAAACAATATGATTACATTTGTCTTCATGTTACTCGTAATGCATTTTGGGATACCTAGCACCTACCATGCCTTTCTCAAGTATGATACAAACAATTCCCACTGCACTTTGAAGACTGTTTTCCTTCCTTCTCCGGCTTCCCCATTGGAAAAAATAAGATTAAAATGCTTTTGCAAGGTGTGGTACCCTGAGTCAGTAATCGTACCTCAAAGCATCTTACTGTCAGCTGAAATTTATCTTCAAAATGCTATAGGTTGAGTTTAGTGCTGAATAGCAGTTGCCTTTTGGGGCCAGGAAACAACCTTGTGTAAATGAGGTTGGAAGTTAAGGGTTTTTTCCCTTCTTTTTGCTTGTATGCAAGCATGGGGTGTGTTTATTCAGAGCAGTGTAATCCTGGACAGTAACTCTGGAAACGTGAGCTGTGCCCGTGTCTGTTCCTTTCCTGCAAATCATACTTCTGGGTTTTTTTAAGAGTAACAGGGGTGGGGAGATGAGCTGGTGGGGGAGGGCAAGAGTTGAGCTGGTTGGTAAAAGTCTTGCCGCAGGCATGGGATCCGTTTCAGATGACCTTCATCGTGAGCAGACAGTATGTGGGCGGTGACGGCTTTGTATTCTGACTTGTCCTAATAGCCAGTAATCCAATTACATTTAGGTTGACATTGTGGACATCTATGAGTCTATCCGTGAAAGGCAGCGTCATGACAGCGAAAGGTCTACCTGCAGCACCTTGGAGCAGAACGACATTGAAGCTGTTGAAGCGCTTGTTTGTATGAGCTCCTGGGGTCAAAGATCGCAGAAAGGTGACATATTAAAGATAAGGCCACTTACGCCCTTCTCGGATTCTGGTGATTTCACAATGCATGCTGAGGCTACGTCCGAGTTACCAAAGGACTATTTATCTACACTGGTAAGAAAAACATAAATGCAAAGTAAATACAACTGCCATCTGGATGTTACATCTTTGCTGTGTTTTAGCTTGGCTGGGAAAAGGTACCCACCCTGCTCCTGTGTCCCTGCCTGGAATGGTTAGGGTACAGCCAGTGTGTGTATATACAGAATAGTGAGGTGGGTGTGCTGAGTTAGGGTTTTTCTGCTGCCTCTGGAATGGCCGGTGTAGGGGTTTGGTCCCTTGTTAAATCTAGACGGGAAAGCTCTTGCTGACAGGTTATTTGATTTGACAGGTGAGCTGAGGGTGCCGTCAGGATGGTTCCTTGGAGTACTTTGAGAACGGCAGAGTGAGCCTCAGTGATTTGGCAAGCATTTTATGAGAGAGCCTCTTGATGACATTTGGCTTTACTCTGGTCGTTATAAGAGAAAGTACAGGTTACCATTACGAATTAGACACTTTAATTAGTTTCTGTGCTATGTGTTTCTACATGTAGTCTGTTATTTCTCCGGCACATTGTTCTACTCTGGCTGACTAATGTCGGTTGAATCACAATATCTTTTGTTGCCATTTATGTTGCAACAAAAGTAGGTATTAAAAAAGGGCTTGGCACCACCCAGGTTTCAGATGGTCAAGGACCATTTCAACCAGTAGGCTTCTAGTGTGCAGGTATGTCAGGAAAAAAGGGAATAATAGAGGGAAGAGGCTGTGATAGTACGGCAGCTCGGTGATGGACTTCTCTCATACTCCTGCTGCTCAGTGTTGACATTGTCTCTTGAGTGGCACAGGAGATAGGCATGTGATTTCAGTGGTAAAGGAGGAAGGAGAGGTGGTGGCAGTAAGAGAGGGTAGAGAGAAATGGATGAATAAGAAGGGACAAAGCAGTTCCAATTGTATTTATCTCTGAAGTAGCCACCAGCTGATGAGGAAATCATTGATAAAAGATTGAGAGCTTGAGATTGAAAGGGTGCAGTATTGCTGTCTGTGGCTAGTCTGTTTTCTATGAACGCCAGAGTGCTCATAGCCTCTTACAGCTGCACCCGTTGCTGAGGGGAAAGGAATGAGGGAGTTTTGTAGTGCAGTGGGTAGTCATGCAATGTTTTATGCAGGTTTACATCTGCTTCATTGCCTTCCTTTTATTAACATGTTTTTGAGCATACTCGGAACGGCCATCAGATGAGGCAGCGTTTGCTTTAGTCAGTCTGTCCCAAGAGACAGGTTTTGAGATTCTGGGGAGGGGATGTAATTTTACTTTTCACAGTAAAAAGTGCAAAAAACCATGCTATGAAATTACACTGTTGTATAACGGTGTTGTCTTTTTTGCAGTGCATGACCCCTCCGCACAGCCCTGACTTTGCTGAGGTATCAGCTGCTATGCTCCTCTCCTCACAAGTCACTTATTCCAAACCAAGGACTGTCATGGCAAATACAGCTGCCTGCTTGGTCACATCAGCGACTGGTGCCTCTCCCATAACCAAGCCATCTGTTATCAATATCGAGCGACAGTGCAGCCAGAAGCCAGTGATATCTGAATCCTTTGCCCCTCAGCCTTGCAGGGCTATGGCAACAAGCGTGATACGTCACACAGGTGATAGTTCTGCTTACCATCACGTTCCTGCCGTGCAAGAGAAAACAGAGGTAACTTCAGGCTACAGCACTTCCAGAGACTGGTGTGGAGCGGGTGAGCGAAGACATTCCAGACTGCCACAGGATACGTGTGCTGCGGATGATGTAGTTAACGAACTCTCTCCGGTACATCAACCTTACGCACATGACTCCAGTGATACCGCGACCAATAAAGGACAACTACAAGTCCAGCCCGTTTCGCCGCAGACCCACTTACCAAAGAACTGTGAGAATGACTTGCAAAAAAGAGCTACCCCAGTGACACCTGCCCCCGTTTCAAGCCCCCAGGTTCTCTGTCAAATGATCCCTTTAAATGGACAAAGCAGTATGATCAATGCCTATGTCAAGCCTTCAACACCAACAGTCTCGACTCCCATGAAACCTATCTTACCGCAGACGGCCCCGCTCCCTCAGCCTGTACTCATGGGACCTTCTGTGCCTCAGGGGACTGTCATGTTGGTTCTTCCACAGACTGCTGTCACACAGCCACCACAGTGCCCGCAAACAGTAATGACTGTCGGGAACACCAAATTACTGCCCCTTGCTCCTGCTCCTGTGTTCATCGCTTCTGGTCAAAGCTGCGCCCCCCAGATGGACTTTTCTAGACGGAGGAATTACGTTTGCAACTTCCCTGGGTGCAAGAAAACCTATTTCAAGAGTTCCCACCTCAAAGCCCACCTTCGCACCCACACTGGTGAGTAGGACAGGGCTCTTCTGTGGCTCTGGCACTGGCTTGTGTTGGAGTGCTGAAATGCACGGGTTTTGGGGGCGAGGGGGTGGGAAAGGGAAGAGGCAGGTGATCGGGAAACTTACGCTTCTCTCAGAGAAGGGAGGAATGTTCATTCTCTGTGGGCAAGCAAAACAAGACAGACTTTGTTCTGAGACCTCAGCTGACCCCACAGTGTTAGTTGAATTTCACATGCTTTAGTTGGAGCGAAGCTCTGCCTTCTGTGTGTGTATGTTTAGATTTGGGTGGAATCCTGCCATCTGGACTAGATCGAAATGAATTGTGCAAGTCCCTTCTTTTGGGGCATGGAAAGGTCTCGTGTAAGCAAACCGTAGTACAGGTAGTTAGTCTTAATTGTTCCACGAGTAAACGAAAAGAGAGAAAGACAGAAACAGCACGTTTTTTCCAGAGTTTTGTTAGGGCTAAATGGGAACGCACTGAGATTTTGGGCTACTGTGTTAGGAAGTGGAATGGCTGCAGGAACGTAGCAGTTTATTCAGTTACAGGAAGGGAATTTTAAAGGTAAATAGAAATTAATTGTAATTAATAGGAGCTCCATAAAATCTGGTCAGTGTGGAGACAGTATACATGTGTTTTACTTACCTTTTTCTGGCTTCAAGATACTGTTAAGACTAACCTGGAGTTCTCAGGGACTATTTTTGATGTTGAGGGATCGGTGTAGTGGGAGATTGGTACAGAATAGCTCATTCAAAAGTCTGCCTACTTTTGGTTTCCCTTGGCTTCCCGTCCCCCGCCCCCAACCTTCCTTGTCCCACAGACACTGTAGTTCACTGGATGTCAGCTTCCGTGGCAGGACTTGCATGAGTGTGCCAGCTTGTCCTTACAGTTCCTTTGGGGAAAGAGCTTAAACCCCATATGAACCTGATAATCCTGGTAAACCAGAGTTCAGAGGTAGATGATGCCTCTGCTTCTGGCTTGAGGGTAAGTGTTGCAGGCTGCTCAGTTAACCTGGCACTCCAGGATAAACGCAGTCTGGCAAGAAGTGTCTCGCTTTGAGCACGTGATGCTGCTGATCCATAGGGAAGCTGTGTGTGTCCCTGTATCGTGGGACACACACAGCATAGTGAAGCACACTGAACCCTCACTGGCCAGTCCATGTTACGAGATGAGTGGGCAGAGTAGTTTAGTTTTCTTTTCCCACCTTGCCCCTGCCCACGGAGTAGCTAGGTGGTACCACATAGTAGTAGAACTTTACTCTCAATAGATGGAATCAGACCAACACTTCTGTGGGACTTCCTTTTTGCTGGACACATGTTCTACTCCAAAGTGTTACCATAAATCTGGGTCACGTGGTAGATGTTAATCTTGACCTTTATGGGGGTTGCAGGCAGTAGATCACGTTGTTTAGGATGTGTTTCATGTTAAGCAGTCACCTAGGATGAGCAGAAACTGTCATGGACAGCATTCCTGATGCTGTCGTCCCTGGGCGTGCAGACCTCCCCTGGCTGTCTGTTGGCCCTCCAGCTGCGTGGGGATGGCAGGACAGGCCATTCCTTGGTGTTAGGTGCTGGGGCGGTGTGTTTGTGCCTAGCGCTGGGTCCCTCGAGCAGCCGGACCCTGCGGTTCCATTCCAGGCTTCCCGATTGCCCGTGGCATTTGCTGATGACGTGCAGCGGACGTGGAGTGTGGTCACACAGGGCTGGAGACAGGGTGTTGCTTCTAGTTCAGTCAACAGATAAGGTAGCTCTGTGAACAGTCTTTTCTTTAAACTGGGGCTTTGGACAGCTGAGAAAAAATACAGACTTGATTAAAGAAGAACATTAAAGAAATATGAAGGAATAAGTAGAAATGATAACTATGATTTTTCTCTGGAACACAACTGGAGCTTAATCTAATGTTGACTGCACACAGGAGCAGTCCTGTGGAGTTCATCGGTTTTTGCAAGGCGGGATTTAAGTTAGGTCTTCGATAAAACTGTAACACAGCTTCTCAAAAGTAAGTTCTGCTTCTTTTCTGTCCTGCAGGAGAAAAGCCTTTCAGCTGCAACTGGGAAGGCTGTGACAAGAAGTTTGCCCGCTCAGATGAACTGTCACGCCACCGTAGAACTCACACGGGAGAGAAGAAGTTTGCTTGTCCCGTGTGTGAGCGTCGCTTCATGCGCAGCGACCACTTGACAAAGCACACCCGCCGCCATATGACCACGAAGAAGATCCCCAGCTGGCAGACAGAGGTTGGCAAACTCAACAGAATCGCCACAGCAGACAAACCGAAGAGCAGCAGTGCTCTGAGTATGCTCATCCCCATGCCGTCCTCCGTCTGTCAGGGCTAGTGGGAGAAGCACCTTCTCTCCAAGCTTTCTGAAGCTCTCTGATAGCTACAAGAAAACTGACAGTGGCTTTTTTCCCCTGTGTTTGTGCATACTTTAGTTTCCTTTGGGTCCTCTGTTAATAATGCTATGTGAGAAATCTATCCTATCTTTCCTCATCCCTTCCGTGTTTGGTTTTTTTCAATACTTGGGCAAATGCAATCACCAGCACTTCAGGAAAGCAAAACTCTTGGGAAATGGTTTTTGGCAATAGGTTAAAAAAGTCACTTGTAATGCTTGCTGTTAATATTCCGATGGACAGTAAAACAGGGTGACTTTTAATTTTTATACTAGTATTTTCTATACCAAATATATTTTGTATTTATTCATTTTGGTCTCGTTATGCAGGCAAAGTACTTGACCTGCATCAGTAGGGGTGTGCAGGATGAGACCCAGGGTTTTGGAGACTCCTTTTCGGTGAACCTAAAAAACTGCATTCAGAGCATTTTGTAAGCACATATTTGATAACTCTCAGTAGCTGGGATTTTCACACCTGCAGATCCCGATCCTGCAGTGGGCTGGTGCTGTTACACCCTCCTTACGTAGGTGACATTGGAGGTTTGAGATCCAAATGTGTCATCAGTTTTAAAACAAACCAAACCAGAATGACTTTCTTTCCACAGAGTAGTGTTGAAATGCTCCACGTTTTATAAGTTCATACCCTGGGCAAGTGGAAGCCGTCGGTAGAAGTTTGACATACTGGGCAAAAAATCCACCAGAGCCAAGTTTGGAGGAGCCAGGCTGCTCTGATGGAGGGAGAAACACAAACATTGTTTAGAAGCTTTGACACTAAAAGTTATGCTTTACTTTCAGTCCTACTAAACCAGCATATCAGAATCTACAGAAGAATGCAAAAATGGCAAGATAACCCGTGCATAATTAGCTGGGTCTCTGTTTATATTTTTTTTGAGTACAGGAGAAATAGAAAATTAAGGGGTTTTTATGTATCGTGGATGCTTGTGCACCTTATAGGAAATTGTTCAAGGCTTTCCTTTACCTGTATCAAAGCACCCGAGGAAGTACTAATCGTGTCGTAAGAGATAGCCACCATGTCAACCTGATGATGCTCTTCATGTGGCCTTATACTTCTCCACAGTCCTTTGTATAAAATCACCCTTTTCTATTAAATGAGATACTCTGCCTGTCGAATGGATTTTCTTTTACGCCAGGTGTAACTACGGCCGAGAAGTGGAATCGCCGGTTGCAGGAGTGCCGTGTTGTAACGGCGTGGTGGGAGCGATAAAACTGCCCGTAGCGCAGTCGGGCTGCTCGCTTTCCGTGGCGCGGAAGGATGCACGCGCGCAGGGAGCCGACAGCAGAACAGTCGTGCTGTCGGGCACCAGGTGCTGTTTCGAGGCAGCTCGCCTGCTGGATGAGATACTCCCATAGCACTTACTCCTCCTGGACTCTTCCATTCAGCCACTCCTACACTGAAGCTTAGTTGAGCACTGAGGAGGACTCTTTCCTGGATGTGTAAGATGTGGATAACTCGGAACATGCTCTCTTGCACTGCATCGTCGTGCTAAACTCCTGGTCTTGCCGCTTGGTGTGGGCGAAGCGCGGCTCTGGCCTAGGCGCTGACGTGCTGATCCCTGCTGGCGCTCCCCGGAAATCGGCAGAGACCCGTTTCTCTTACAAGCGGAATACGGCGTTCTTTTTTACGCGTGAGCCCGTAGTTGCAGTGAAGGGTAACGCGTTTCAAACTGCGCTGGAGTGTCGTGCCGAGTGTACCGCAGCGCTTGTGCCCGACCTTTCAACCGTCTGCACCCTGGCGTCCCGCTAACCAGAGCGAGAAGGGGAGGTGCAAACCTCGCTTTGTGCTCCCCAAAGGGCTCGCCCCAAACCCCTCCTCCTGGTAAAGTGGATGGCTTGTAGCATTGCTGTTCCGTGTCGGGACCCAGTTGTCCAAATTCATGTGGTGAAGAAAGAGAAGATGCCGCTCCTCTTTTTTCCTCACAAGAAGTTTGGTTTCTGGAGGCCGTTTTAGCATGCTTCTCAGCGCGGGAGGGGTGTCCCGTCTCAGTCCCGTAGCCAACTCAGTACTTCATTTTTATAGACTGTTTACAGTGTTCACTGACATAAACCAGCCCAGAAACTCATCACATAATTCAGTAAATCGTCATGTTTGTTGCATTGTGCTGGAAAACCTGGACTTCCGAAAGGCGTGCATATCACGATGGGAAAAGCAGCAGCTCCCTTTCTGTTAGGTTTACCCGGCCCGCGCGCTCCTGCGAGGTGTGCGCCGCCTCGTCCGGGGCCTGGGGCTCTGCCCTTGGGGATGTGCACCAGCAGCTGAGCCGCGGCATGCCTGCCTCTGCCCTCTTTGCTCCTTCCCTTCCTTCCTGCCGCGTAAGGGTTGTGTACGGATCCGGCACGGCTGGGATAGCTGCTCTCTTTGCACTGTACTGCCTGAACTCGCTTGTTCAGTCGTTTTATTTTGAGCCTATATTTTAAAAAAATGGAATTGTGGTTTTGTACCCGTTTTTAACTACTACCAAATAAAAAGTATGTCATGTGACTTGTTTTAAATCATCAAAAAATTGTGAATTTTCAGACTTCCTACGCGCCTGTTCCAGAACTGTGTAAATCCATCTGGATCGGCTTATATATATCTAGGCCAGCAGAAGACTTTAGGGCTCGCTAGTTCACTTCCCTGCAAAGGCAGGATTTTTTGGATCCTGTTGTAAATGGCCTGGTGCTTGTCCGTTTGTAACTTCACATGGTGCTTCCTGTGTATGTGGTGAACGCGTATGCCGCTGCTAGCCTTTGGGGCTTTGCCTGCTGCCCAAAAACAAGAGTCTTGTGGTTCCCAACTCTTCCAGCACGCCCTCCAGCGCTTGGCAGCCAACGGCGGGGGGGAAAAAAATCACCGTTGCGAGCTGCGTGTGGCACAGCTGCTGGAAATGAGAGAATTTGGCTCAAAAAGATTGTTTCATTGGTCCCGGTTCTTCCCGCTCCCGCATGCTGGCAGGCTGCGTGTCACCCCGTCTCAGCCGGAGGAGACAGGTGACTGCTTTAAGTTCTGCAGTGGGAGCCCTCGGAGAGCCAACTGGGAGCGGTGACCATCCACCTGGCTGCATGGTCTTTAAGGTCACAGAATCACAGACTGGTTTGGGTTGGAAGGGACCTTAAAGACCATCTAGTCCCACCCCCCCTGCCACGGGCAGGGACACCTTCCACTAGACCAGGTTGCTCAAAGCCTCATCCAGCCTGGCCTTGAACACTTCCAGGGATGGGGCATCCACAGCTTCTCTGGGCAACCTGTGCCAGTGCCTCACCACCCTCTCCAGGAAGAATTTCTTCCTGATATCTAATCTAAACCTCCCCACTTTCAATTTAAACCCGTTACCCCTTGCCCTGTCACTACAGGCCCTTGTAAAAAGTCCGCCCCAGCTTCCTTGTAGCCCCTTCAGGTACTGGAAGGCTGCAATAAGGTCTCCCCGGAGCCTTCTCTTCTCCAGGCTGAACAAGCCCAACTCTCTCAGCCTGTCCCCATAGCAGAGGGGCTCCAGCCCTCTGAGCATCTTCGTGGTCTCCTCTGGACTTGCTCCAACCAGTCTATATCCTTCTGATGTTGAGGGCTCCACAGCTGGACGCAGCACTCCAGGTGGGGTCTCACCAGAGCAGAGTACAGGGGCAGAATCCCCTCCCTCGACCTGCTGGCCACACTTCTCCGGATACAGCCCAGGATATCGTTGGCTTTCTGGGCTGCCAGTGCACACGGCCGGCTCATGTTCAGCTTTTTGTCTACCAGGCTCTAGGGTGTTCGATGCTCGGAGGGAGGAGGTTGGAGGAGAGTCGCTGGGGTGGTGACGGTGGGAGGGCGGGTAGGTGACAGCAGGGCGCTAGGTATGACGTGTCTCACAACCATCGCCAGGTCAGCCGCTGCTCTGCCCTCGGAGGTCGCAGCAGCGGGGTGCCAGTAGATACGTGCGTTCAGGGTCTGTCCTCACTGGGTGAAAGGACCGGCGTTGGGCGTCCTAGGGCCGGAGATGAGGACCTCCTAACCCTGAGGAGCTATGGTTACGGTGACTAACTGGTTTTCATCCTTCTTTCCAGCCGTCTCACCCAAGCAGGGGTCTAGTCACAGCCTTGTTTTCCCCGCTCGGATCTACCTACAGCTCCCCACTGAATTTCTGAAGCTTGTAGGATATTTCACTGGGTGACTACACGCCAGGTAAAAGACAACTTGTTTCCTAAAACTGCTCTGTCACTGTCTTGGTTGCTCTTTGGGAATGAGTTCTGCCCATTTCCTGGGCTACTGAAAAGGCAAAACTCTGCGTCTACTGCAGGGCTGCCAGAAAGAAAAGGCATCTACAAAGAAAGGGGAAAAGAGGATTCCAAGTGTTTGTTTGCACATGAAAAAAATCAGATTTGAGTGAAACGCAGAGTTTGAGTAAGTGTGCAAATCGATTCTGTGGTTTCAGGTTCACTGGTGGTGTTTTTTTACATCTTGGGTTGAGTAATTTTAAAAATATCACTTTAATGCTTCCAGGAGCAGAACCTTTTAGCTGGAGTCTCGTTGCACAGCCACATAAGGAGTCTCCAGAGCTCGTGGAAGTCTCTAAGCTCAGAAGTGGCAATATCTGTTCATGCACTCAAGAGTAATCTTTCACGATTAGCTGAAAACAATGACCCTCTTCAGTCCTTTCAGCAACTGTGGTTTTGCCTCCCTTAAAAAACAGTAGTTACAGGAGGCACGTACGGCCAGCCAGCTGGCCGGCGAGGGCCTCCTGCTCCTTTAGGACTGGTGCAAAACATGGTGTGTAGCTTTTGTCTTTGTGAGATGAATAACGTCATCTTTTGGTTAATACGCGCGGCCTGTTGTTGCTTTATTAATGGGGATTAATGGTGTCAGCTCAAAACCTGTGCTCAGCTACCCCGTCTTACGCTGCGTGTATCAGACAGGAGGGCAGTTTCTAACATGATGAACCAGAGACACTCCAGAGCCCTGTTTAAATCCAGCAGAACTGTTATGGGG